TTTCACATCCTCCTTTTATACACACAAACCTAATAACATAGACATTGTCTTGTGTGCTCAATGAGCAAGCACACTGGAGAAGGAGTTTCGGCAGGATACGATGCAGGGTGATAGAAAAGAGACATGGAAATTATAGATTTCTATATGAGGATAACAATGATGATGATGGCTGTTGTTCAGCTCTTATATAACAGTTACTATGAGAAATACTTTATATGTAGCTTCTTAATTAATCCCTACAACAAGCCCATGAGGTACTGTTATTATCCTGATTTTACAGATGATTGCATTGAGGCTCAGAATTAAGTAGCATGTCCAAGATCGTGCAGAGAGGAAACAGGGGGAACGAGATTTATACCAGGACTCGGACTACAAAGCTCAAGCTGTTGACCATCAGGCTGTCCTCTGTGGAACTTTTATCCCAAGAGAAATAAATAAAGGACAGACCTGATCTGCAACACGTTTCTCATTCTTTTTTGTTCTGATGAGAAAAAAAAAAAAAAACACTTTTTTTTTTTCATTTTATTTTAGTTACAGATGTTTCTCCTTTTTTTCCCCATTGACACCCTCCTTCCCATCACCCCCCCCCCCGTCCCTTGCTTTGTTTTCTGTGTCCATTGGTTATGCATACATGCATATAAGTTCTGTGGTTTATCTCTTCCCTCCCCCTATCATCCCCTCTTCTGAAGGTTGTCACCCTACTTGCACATCTCTGGGTCTACCCTATTCCTCAGACTGTTATGTTTATTATATTCCACAAATAAGTGAGATCATGTGGTATTTGTTTGGCTTGTTTCGCTTAGGATAATACTTTCCAGGTCCCTCCATGTCGTCTCAAAGGATAAGAAATCTTTCTTTCTTACAGCTGCATAGTACTCCATTGTACATATGTACCACAGCTTTTTTATCCACTCGTCTACTGATGGACACTTGGGCTGTTTCCAAATCTTAGCTATTGTAAATAGTGCTGCTATGAACATGAGGGTATATATATTCTTTCTGATTGGTGTTTCAGGCCTCTTAGAGTCTGAAGTGGGATCACTGGGTCAAATCGCAATTCAATTTTTAATTTTTTGAGGTAACACCATAGTGTTTTCCATAGTGGCTGCACCAGTCTGCATTCCCAACAACAGTGTTCTAGAGTCCCCTTTTCTCCACACCCTTGCCAACACTTGTTTGATGATTTGTTTTTAAAGCTGAGCAAAATAACTGCTCTCTGGTCTAAGGTTTCCTGGCCCATCTTCCCCTCCTCTGCGCAACTCCCACCACCCGAATTCAACATACTTTTTATTTTTTACTCCTCACCCTAGAATATGTTTATATTGATTTTAGAGAGAGAGAAGAGGAGAATGAAACATCATTGTGAGAGAGAAAAATCAATTGGTTGCCTCCGGTATACACCACAACCAGGGATCGAACCCATAACCTTTTGATGTTCAGGATAATACTCCAACTGAGCCACCTGGCCAGGGCAACATACTTTTGATTAATCTGAGTCTGCCTCATATCAAAAGTCAGAACTGAAAAGCTAAGTGGAGGGAGTGGGGGGTGCAAAAAGCATAAGTTTCATTGAGTAGGCAGGCTGGTGGGGAGGACGGGCCGACACAGGCATGTTGACTCTTCCTCCTCCACGCACATTTATGCTTCCTGACTACTTTGTTAAAGGCGAAGAATCATCAAATCAGTTGATGGCAGATATGTGAACAGCTTTGGGAGCCTTAACTTGGCTTTCTAAAAGGATTCTCTATCAGAAAAACATCTGGATTCAAGAGAAGCAGTGTCAAGTAGACACTTGAGAGACAGAATGCTATAGGACGAAGCCAGGCTCACCTCATCCAATGGAAAACAGCTTTAATATGGCATCAAGCTTACACCCTCTCTCATTCCTCCCTGTTTAACCCAGAGGAAAATGGGTGTTCGGACTGAGCGTCCACCGAGAACAGCAGCAGCAGGGAGTGAAAGAAGGCTTCCAGTGAGCATCAGGAGGCTCTCCATGGGCTGAATGGATGGTGATGAGCCAATGAGACAGTGCAATTGCTGAAATACCTATAGGTTCTAAGAGTCTCTGATTCTATAAGAGGAACTCAACATGATCAGTCTTTGCTTACAAAGTTAGACAGAGCAAGGTACATGAAGACGCACAGTGGGTGCAGTTCCAATGTCAATAATGACAAAAGCCACAGGCCAGCCTTCCACTGACTGCTGCCATCAGCAAAGAACTGACATGAAAGTATAAGCAGCCCACCATGCCCAATCACCATGTAAAGAATCCACGTGTAATATATCATAGATCATTCCCTCAGAGCATTTCCAGTCCTCATTCCTTCCCCCTGCCCAAGAGGCCTTTGTTTTTAGTATCTCTAAATTATCTGTGATGATGTCCACATGGGAACTTGATTTAGTGAAATCATATAAGGGAGTGCAGGGATTGCTGTCTTTTCCATATAAAAATCAAAGCATATATTAAAAAAGAATGAAATTCTGACATGCTACAACATGGATGAACCCTAAAAACAAGGTAAGTGAAATAAATCAAACACAAAAGGACAAATACTGTATGATTCCACTTGATACGATATGAAGTATCCTGAATAGGCAAATTCATAGACACAGAAGGTAGACGAGAGATTACCAGAACCTGGGGAGTGGGGGCAGAATTTCTGTTTGGGATGATAAAAAAGTTCTAGAAATGGATAGTGGTGATGGTAGCAAACCACTATGATATACTTACTGTCAATAAATTGTACACTTGAAAATGAAAATTTTGTTTAAAATGGTAAATTTTGCTGGGTATAGTTTACAGCATAATTTAAAAATGAAGGAAAAAAAATCAAAGCGCATGGTATCTGTTTCACACGTGCTCAAAATGGAAAAAAACAAGGGCCCCAAAATTGATCCTTGAAATATTTTAAAAGGAAGTAGACTGTAAGTTCCTTGAGGACAGGGACCAGCTCTATTTCACTTACTGATACAAAGTAGGTACACTATGACACAATAGACTCTTCATAAATGTTTGCTTAATAAACAATTAGAAGAAAATAAACAAAGGACTCTCCTAAGTGGGAAATATAGTATACAAAAAGCAGTACATGTACTTATTCTTGAGAAAGTATAATGAAGCCTATTCCAGGAAAAAATACCAATGCTACCATATCTAAGCTCCGTCAGCTGACAGAAGGCAGTGCATCTATCTTACCTGTCCTTCCCCAGAGTATGCCCTGCAAGTGCCTACACACAGGAGATGGTTAGTAAATGTTGTACAATGAGAAATAAAAAAATGCATGGTTGTAAAATCAAGGTCATATTATTACTCTACTATTTATTCCCCCTTTTAAAAAGTACTTACTTTTTGCAAATGTACAATTCCTTCTGTCACAGGCGAAAAAATAAGCCTCACAGCTTACACAGAGTGGAGGTAAAAATATAAATAGCTAGAACACATCACTCTCACGAAAAGAAACAGTAAACACAGGGCACATCATCTTCTGAATAGAAAAAAATTATTTGTTTTAAATGAAAAAGAAGACATAAAGTATGAGAAATGATAGATTATAGTCCATCGTTACTCTTTAAGAAATAATTTTTAAATGTCAAAACAGAAAAAATCTGAACTCTCTTTGGAAGAAAATGCTAATATTCATTCCCAAAAATCAATGTCCAACCTTTACCATAAACAGTTGAGTAAACACAGAAACATATTTAAGGCACCTCCCCCCACCAAAAAAAAATCCCAATGAACCCTAATATATTATCAATATTTCTCTTAATTAGCCTATCAAATAATCAGGTGGTCTTTCTTAAAAATGCCTATGTCACAAAATTATACACAATTGGCCTATGGCCAACATACTATAGCAAGTTACTGATGATGTTCTCAACTAACATTCACAATCTATATCATTTATATTTTATGTGAATTACTGAGTTAAATATACACACATAGAATATTTTTAAAGCAAAAAATCAAATGCTGACATCCTTAACATCCAGTATCTATACAATAGATGGATCTTTATAAATTCACCAGGACCATGTAGTGTAGTAGCCACACTTTGAACAATATTAAAGCATGTCCTTCAACTTCAACCACCCCTACCCACTATACTCTGTGCCACTTAACAAAGAAAATAGGAATTCAGCCTCTGTAGACAACAAGGTTTACATTTCTGCCTCTTGACTGTTATCCTCTTCAGGAGCTGGTGAGCATCATTTTGGAGTAGCCAGCCTGCTGCCCTGTCCTTCCTGCATGCAGGGGTTTCTCCATTTGCATCCAAAATGCTAATGGTCCACTATTCGAGCCAGCGCTTCAAGCAGAACTGCATGAAGCATCATCACTTCCACACATGAAAGCATAACCACTACAGGTGTAACGATGCAAAATACCAGCACACTGACCTCTGCCAGGCAGCACACACTTAAAGCAGGTGCGTTTCTGTGCTCCAGACGGGGAGAGAGTGGGATGAGCAGGGAGGAAGTCCCAGATCCCTAATATATCAGAGATGTTTATTCCACTCAGATCCAACCCCGCTAATTCATAGACATCAGTTTATCCAAATGAAAAAAGTGGTCTCCCGTCCTTCACTAGCTTGACTCAGAGGGCATGCAGCCAAGCCTAGCCAGGCAAAACAGCCTGTAAGACATCTATAAGCTGTAATAAATAAGATAAGTTTCCGAAGAAATAAGACTCAGCTATGGCAAAGAAGCACAGTCGCAAAACCTTTTCCTCATCTTGTCACTGCTACTGGTGTTTACAAACTACAAGCAGTAGCCTCGGGAGCCTCAAGGGACTCTCTCATGAGTAACCTCCAGTCAGCTCTCTTATTTAAATACCTCCTTGATCAGTCTGTGATGTTTTGGCAGTTAAACGGAAGGGGATGAGTAAAATGACATGCATAAAATGAATCCTCTTCAAGTTGTAAATGAGTGAGTCAGGCTTCAGACTTGCCGAGATGCTCCAAATTAAAACCCCTGCTCTAAAATTTAAGCATGCTTCCTCTTACCGTTTTGCTGTTGTATCTCTCAGGCTCGGTTCACCTGCAACTCTGTAACATGTCTCTAGCAATGTGTTTGCACCAGGCCAGGCGCATCCAGTAACTGAATTCACATCTTTCTGCACTAGCAAGCTGAAATGGTACGGCCGTACTACAACCAAGAAAGGGGGAAGCAGAAGCAAAAAAAAAAACCCAACCCAGAAATCACCCTAGAGAAGCCAGTCTCTGTGGAATAAGACCAAAAATGGTTCAGAAGAACACAAAGCACATGCTAAACATTCAGTATCAAGAGCTTTAACAGTCCAATCTTTTTCTAAAAAAGAATTCTAATTTTTTTTCCTCCAAACACGATGGACTTGCCTGTGGAGTTCCCAGGAAGGCAGAGTAACCGGGCTCTGCAGCAGCATTGCAGCCAAAGTAACTGTGCGTATGCTGTCCAGGCTATCACAACACTCTCTCCAGAAAGCTATTGATTTGCCATGCAGGGCTGCTTCAAAAGAAGGCAGAATTGGAGCCAAACAGCTAATGGTGAGTGCATGGGAGGAAAAACATTTAATCAAGGGATGCACCTAATCATGCTCAATTCAATTTTTTAAAAGCACTGGAGGAAGCCAGTAAGTACCTTGAGTGACAACCCCATTAAACAATAATCTGAGGTCCTACAGAAGGCCAAGTTTAGGCTACCATCACTCATGCTGCAAAAGCCACTTAAATGGTTTAATGTGTCTATGTGCATGTGTCTGTCATATGCAAGTGGTGCATATGAGAACTCTAAAATTATAATGCACCAAATATGTGAGCTAAAAAATAAGTGCACAGGTAGCGTTTATAGACTAAAATGATAAAATACAGTGATGAACCTGCAGAATTCTTAGTGGGGTTAGGTTCATACCATCTCAAAAGTAAAAGGCCAACACAAACCAGATCTGACAGTCCTAAGGCTAATTGTGTCAAGTCATACCACATGGTGCTGGGTGGCAAGGAAGAATGACAAACTGCTACTCTCATAGCGACCCCTACAGGAGAGTGGTTGATCTACAATTCATCCTTGTTTAAAGTATTTTCTATCCTCAGAAAACAGAACAAAAGGGCATAAATTAGATTAAGAACAAGGAAACAACTGAGAAATACATTAGGCAGGAATTTTTTTTTTTAAGCCAGGCATGAAATGTGACCTCAGAGATATTCAGTTCATTAAGAAATTAAAGTATAGGCAGAGGTAGCTATTGTGTCAGTGACAAGCGGCCAATATTCCCATAGCTCCCAGGACAGGGTGAACACATAAATCAGAAAGCTCAAGGAAAAGCATTTTCCCTTCACATCCTAATGGGTTTAAAGGAATTATCTCCCCCATTCCCCATTTGCAAACCTTCTTCACCTTCATCCTTCTGAGTGACACTGTGAAGATATTGAACTTTAATTTTTTTTTTTTTACAACACAAAAGCTCACTCAAAAATCTTACAAAAAGTTCTTCAAACGCAAATATGATGTACACGCTTCTTTACCGAAGCCAAGAGAGAGCACTATCTCCTTAGTATCTGGAAACTATTAAGTTATATGAACATCATTTCTGCGTAGCAAACTTCATTTCAATAAGGCTTTCAAAAATCCGAGGTTTTGTTGATGATTGCTCAACCCTCCAGCCCACAAAGACTCCTTTTCCAGAACCAACTGCACTTCTTATTTGAATCATTTAGGATTTGGTCACATGGTGCCTCATAAAACTCTCTTGTATTTTGGCATTTTCCCCATTTTGAGGCCCTTGTGCAGTGAACAGTATCAACTTCATCTTGTTTTATTTCCCCAAAGCACATGACACAATGCTAGGCATCTAGCAGATATTAAATAAATATTTAACCAACTAATGAATTGCCCAACTCCATGTTTTAGGGCTTAATCTCCCCTCCGCTAGCATTCAGTGTCCCCTGGGAAAACTCCACATTACAAGGGTTATTGCTAGTCACTTTATCTAAGTTGTTCTCAATCCTTTTCTCTATAGAGTTGGTGGATAAGAGCGTGTACAGCATTCGTATGCATTAAGCTATCTTGTATAAAAGCCAGAAAACTTAACACAGTCAAGTTTCTCCTTTATTCTTCCATTTAGTCATTCAAAAAGCATGTACTGATTTGCCCAGCAATGTGAACCACTGTGTTCTCTGCATTCCAGGAGCCCAGTGAGCGCTCGGAAGTAAGGCAAGTGATCGCAGTAGACTGGCTTGAGTGTTTTCAGAGCCCTTTAGTCGGACACAAATAATGTTCCTTCGGGGGCTCACAGAAGACCCCGCTGAGGAGGCAGCCCACGCTGGGGCTTCCCAGCACGGCCTGGGGGGCTGGGCACCTGAGGGACAGCAGGACAGGACAGGACTGACAGGTCAGAGGCCTAAACCGGAAGCTGTCTGGGGAAACCTCGGAGCAGTGCGCACAGCGGTGGCAGCTGTGATGTCTGGGGCAAAGGCAGCCGATGCCAGAGCAGAACGGGCACCAGAGCCCTGCTTAGCAACGAGCCACTTTATCGCACAGGAAGCTGCCATTTCATCCAGCAGGAAGTCACTACAAGACTATAAGCAGAAGGTGGCCAGATGGGATTTTTCATGTTACAGGGGGTAATGGTGTAGAAAAGGATCAGAGGGTGAGGGGAGGGGAGGAGGCCACTGGGGAGACTAGACAATTGTCCCGTCGAGGCCCTGGGCTAAAGCGGTGGACGTGGACTGTAGAGGCAACGGGAGTGAGAGACATTCGGGAAGAGTGACTGGTGGAGTAGCTGGACACGAGGCCTCATGGAAAGGGAAAACGCAAGCACAACTCTGAATTCTTACTACAATTAGGTGAAAGGTGGGGCCACAAACTAATGGCGTGGATACAGGAAGATCAAAAGCTCGAAGAGGGCAGGGATTACCATGAATTCCATTTTTATCCAAGTGGAGTTTTAGGCTTCTGTGGGACAGTCAAGTGGACATGCTGGGTGGGCACCTGTCTAAGGATCTGGAGCCCAGAGAAAAGGTCAAAAGTTCACTAACGTGTCAGGGTTTAGGGTTCCCTAGAAAGAGCGCTGAGCCGGGATTCTAGCTTACTGAGGACATGCTCTCAGAGAAAGGGGTAGGAGGCAGGGTAGGAGGACGGGGGGAAAAGCGAGGAAGAATGTGGCCTCAGGTGAAGTAAAAGCACCACCACCAGTCCCCCTGAAGCTCGAGGGCCCCTCGTGCACACCTGGTGCTGTCTGAGGCCCGGGAGGAAGGGCGCCCACAGCATTCACCACACTGCGCTTCAGACGGGATGGGCACATTTTCTTTGCCACAAAGCTGGTCCTTATCTGGTTTTTGCTGCTCTGTCTGCCTACATTGTTCTTCCCAGACAACTCCTTCCGTTACTCAGTTGGATCTCGGGCATCTCTGCCTGAAAGTCCTGCTCAACTTCCCTCTTCTGTTGTCCTCCTTCCCCCACGACGGTGCACCACTTTGGCTTCACTCTCTGACTGGCTTTATTTATTTGTCCTCCTCCCCGCTAGAATGTAAACTGCTCAAGAGCATGGACTTCTACTTGCTCTCCTGTGCTCTCCCGGCCCCCGGAACAGCATTCAGTACTTGTTGAATAAATAAATATTAGAAGGAGCTGCTGATGACAGTAGTTTGAACTAATTCTTCGCACTCCTGCAGAATGGAAATGGACAGGGAGGAGCTTGAGAAATGTGTGGGGTAAACAACAGTGTCAACAAATGTATACAACTATGCAAGAAGCCTAGAAGCCAGAGGGCAAAGCTGCAGGAAAATAATCACTAGTCATGGCACACCAGATTCCGTCTGCTGCTAAGAATATGTGTATTAGGGGACACCGAGATGTATCTGAAGCACACCATAAAAGAACAACAGTAGAGGTTAAAATAAAGGCTCTATCTGTAAAGAGAAGAGACAAAAAAAAGTCTTTTGTGAAAGCAGCATCTCAGTGGACATAAAGGAAAAGGCCAAAAAGAAAACTGTGAGAATCTGACACCTGCTTAGGTCATATTTTGGAGAAAAATAAAAATTAATTTTTCTCGAAGTGCCTGCCTTGATATGTGATTTTTTTTTAAATTCTAAGGAGTGTTGTGTACTTCCCTGACTTTTTTAATGGATTACAATGAACACAATCTGTTCTTCAGTTGATGGCGAGGTCAGGTACAGACATCACTGACAGCCACCAGGGTTTAATGGTGAGCACACAGGGCCACTGGGCCCTGATCGCAATAAATGACATCTACGGGTTTTTCTGCTTCATGTTTCTGGTTCATTCTCTCTTAAGGCTTCTCTTCTTATGGCTCTAAATGTGCCTCCTCCTCCTTCTACCACCACCACATTCTTCTCAGACTTGCCACAGCTTCTTCAACCACCCTTGTACTGGGCAACTAGATAAACAAGCTTATTAGAGAACTGTGAACAGAGGGTGGAGTTAATGGATGGGTTCAAAGCAGAACTAGGAACCTTCTCCTGAGTGGAGAAATAACAGCCTAGGAACCCACCAACCACAGGCCGTGCCCTACAGGCTTTGTGGTTCTTCTCATTTGTGTACAAACTCTGGTTTCTCATCATCCTACCTGGAGCTGTCCCAGACATATGAAGCGGCCAGGTGTCTGACCTTCACTTATACAAGTAGGATATTACAGACAGATGCCCATCCCCTGTCAAAACTAAAAATGAACCTGGAAAAAAAGAACTGAAGATAGAAGTAGAGAAGGACTTTAACTGAAAAGGGAAAAAGAAACAAATAAAAATTAGGAAGGAGGTAAGAATAAAAACTATGCATATAAATCTAATACAAGTCACCTATTTTATGAATTAATTTAATTGTGTTTAAGCTCTTCAGGAGAGACAAGTATTTTATATTGAAAAGTGATAGAGAAAAGATAAAAATTTGCAAAAAAGAGTTTGAGTTTCAAATTACTGTAATTCCATGTAACCCCGGCAATTTATTTCTATTATACACTTTTACAGTGAAATGTTGAGGATATGATTTCTTTTAAAATGCTCCTAATGTTTTAGAAAACCTAAACTCTATTTTGCATAAACCCTAAAAATTTTAAACTTAATTCTTCTCCACAGATGCCAGTCTGTTACTTACACTCCAATATAGTCAAAGAAATCTTAAAATATTTTCTTAAAACATTGTGAAAGTTACTTAAGATACTTTCTCGAAACACTCTGAAGGAGTTTGAATCAGATGTTTAAAAGCCATTACACCCAACCACAATACCAAAAACATCCATATGTCATTTATGGCATCTCATGGAAACTTTAGGATTTTCTTATATTACACAACTTTGAGTATTTTCTGGATTCTAGAGGTGAAAAAAATTAACAAAGTTTATCAGTAAACACATGTAATTCTATCACAACCCAATAAATTTATTGCTGAAAAATGCCGCCTTGTGCTAAATTGCGCCCTAAAAACAAGAGGGCTTATCAGAAAAATAAGGTTGAGGGCAAACCACTCAAAACCCGAATGCATCCAGAAC